ATGTTGAGAATAATCAGTAAACCATTTTAAAATTTATTTGCTTGAAATATTGCCTGTTTTCCACTGCTTTGAAGCAGTTCTAGCTTTGTTCATAATTCAAAAATGACCGTGTGCTAAAATTTAATTTCAAAGATATATATGTCCTTGCAGAAAACTTGTTCATGGGTCTAGGTTTATTCTTGAAATGCACATATCTTTTAGTCACTTACTGTATGGGTTATGTTTTTGAGGTGGAGTTTTTTGTTTGTTTGGACCAACATCAGCATGTGCTGATGTGGGCTGCACCCAGCAGCTTGGGGATGGTATCACTCCCATGAATGATACCCAGGAGTGGGTATTGTAGTCTGATGATATTTTGATGGAGCTTTTTAATTTCCTGATGGAAGAAGAAGGGTCAGTTGAAGAACAAGTGGGGAGGTTGACAAAATCTGGGAAAGAAGTTCAGCCCTGGCAAAGTTCATTTCTTCCCTAGCAAAGGATTGCCAGCAGCCCACAGGAACTGTGGATTTGCCAGTTTAAGCTCTGCTTTTGTAATTATGTCTAGATTTCAGGTTCTGAATGTTTTGTGCTATGTGCCACAGATAGCTGCCAAGGTGAAGGAGATCAGCCTCCTAGGTGAATATTACCTGCAAACAAACAAGTTGCTCCTGCTAAATTTCTATCACAGTGTTTATGTGCATGGGGAGGTAGAAGGAAGATGTGCATGTATGTGGGTGTGGCAAAGCCCTCACAATTCAGAGAATAATGAACTAAGTCTTTGGACTGGAAAATTATATTGGAAGGTCTGGAAAGGCAAAGGCAAGATTGCAGGGTGCTGCAAATGATAAGTTCAGAAACTGTGGCCAGGTCTCTGAATACATGGGTAACACCTTCCTCTGTCATGCTGGTAACAGCTGGCTGGGTCACAGCCCCCTTCCTTTTCCAGAAAATAAACTGATGCCAAGAAAAGAGAGTACCAGCAATCTCACCCTCAATTTACCTATCTGTGTCTTTAACAGCCTCAAAGATGCCAGCTGTTAGGAGGATGGTGATCTTGTAACAGAATAACAGTACTCTTTCAGAATCTCCCCTCTGTGATGCAGCAATTTTGTGGTTTCTGAAAAGGTCAAGCAGCATCGTTAATGCACACCATGTAATTCCTCTGTGAAGGTGCAGTGCTTCGTTTGTGGAAAAGGACATCTTCCTCTGAATGCAAATTTGGGTGTTCCCAAACTGAAGGACAGGAGGATATGTTGTTGCACTGTCACCACCTCATTCATCATGGAGATGAGACCATTTTATTTGAGTTGCTCCAAAAAGTGATATCTGAGCAAGTCAGGAATAGAGTGTTTTGGTGTTTTTTTTTAAGGAAAGAAAAGAAAAGGAGACTTTTCAACACCTAAAACTTTAAGCTTTTTATATTATTTCTTTCAGCCTAGCCTGAGAAAACATAACTCTTTGGACTTCATAGGAGATTAAATCCAGCCCCAGGTTTCTCAGGTAAAATTATTGCTCTGCTCTTAGGCTGTCCCCTGAGCCATCTCTGTCTATTTCTAATTAAGGACTAAAGGAAATGGTTCCTTCTGGTGGCAGCTATAGCATGAAGAAAGCTGTGAGTGTTTCTGTGGGGAGGCTGGTGCCACTACCACCCTCCCATCAGGAACCTGCACGCCTAGGCTCTCCTCTGCGGGCTGGTCTCACAGGGAGCCACGCTCACTGTGGCATAGCCAAAGACAGGGGACCATCCAGGTAATCTGCCAAAAGGTATCACAGCAGATCAAAATTCATTAAACATACTACTCTGAGATGTTTAGCAATTCATTGGAAATCTGATCTGGCAGATATCTGGGAGTACAATTATTCCATGTACCCTGGAAGAAGCAGAGGAAGTAGAGGTTCTGTGACCAGGGTGGTGGCGGTGTGCTGAAAGCTCTTTGAGCCTGAGACACTGGCATTTAGGCACAATTCTTTGCTATATCCAGTATGTGTCTTGGCAGATCTTGGGGCTGAGATAAATCAAAAAGCAATGTGCCAAATTTGAGAAAATTGAATTTCTATAGTACAACCTTTATTCATATATAACTTTTGCAAGTGTTTGACTTGTTGCTCACGTTCTGGTTCATGTCCTTTAAGCATGATCTTCAAACAGATGCAAAATTTAAAAAATAACAGTATACCATTTAAAAACTGTTTGAATTCACCTTTTGGAATTTGACCTGTATGAAACAAATATAATTGACAGTGACTTTTGAGTAGTGAGTGTTTGCATGTTTTTTGGCTCCAAGTCTTACAAAACCGAGCATGCATACTACACATATATATGCATAAATCACTCACATATGTAAAAATGCCCTGATGAGGAAAAAGTAATGAAGTTTTCATGAGCTTGTTCTTCATGGCTTAGATATTGAAAAACACACGTTAAACCATTAAAAGGTACCTCTGGGATTGTTTTAAATTGCAAATTTAAAAAAAATAAAGAAGAAATCTATTAAAAAGAATCATTTTCCATTAACTGAAGTGTTTGCAATAAAGACAATTACAGCAGTTGGCAGTATTCTCTTTGAACCAAAACAAATAAATACATTTGGTGACATACGTTCAAGGAAATGTGATTGCTGCAATGTTCATGCAAATAAGGAGCAGCTTCACAAATGCTAGACATTTTGCCATCTGGTATTACCAAAGGAATACAACTCTCAACTTGTAGCTCTTCCTAACTTACTGCTTGTAGATGGTGTATTAGGCATTGTCACACAGTTCTGACATTTGCATAATCATTCTGAATTACTGCAGGTTGTGCATTGCATTGCCAGCAGTGAATTCATTTGAGAAGAGTGTTGAGAAACCTGATGACTTGTATGGCTTCATCAAATATATCTCTGTCCAATAAAGAGATAAAAATCTTCTTCCACTTTAGGACTACCACACCAGGGAATTTTTAAATTTGTTTGAGGACTAGTGAAGAATGCTGCATCCATTTACTTCCTAGAAATTGGGTAGACACCAGTATTACAATTAATCTCAGGGAAGCTTCCCATCTCTATTTGGCTGCAGGCTAGAGTGCAAATGCAAATCATCTCAAAGAGTCAAGAAATTCTGGATGGGGACACATAGTTAAGGATGAAGTTATAACCTGATCTCTTAAAACTCCAGAAAAACCCAACCTGACAACAGTTATTAAGTGTGACAGAAGTCTGGTTTAGACACAGGTGGTTGTTAACTGACAGAGCTGATGGGAGGAGGCTCGATGGCACAATGCAGTAACTGAAGACCCCTGCTCTCACAGCATCAGTGACAGCTGGTCTGCCTCTGGTCTCAGCAGCGTGTACAGCATGTGCAGTAGGTGATCTCACTCCCAGGAACACATGCGGAGGCCTTCACCATCCCCTTCTTTCTGGAGGAAGACATTTTCCATGCCCAAAAACTCCATCCCTGCAATTGTCTCCTCGTTATGCTGATTTTCAAGGAGAGGATTTTGGAGCGAATAACATGCATTGCTCATGAAAAGTATGGGATAAAAACCCAAAAACTCTCAGCCACCTGTAAGTGGTTGTAAACAAGATGGTGTTTGGATGCTGTCTCCAACCTGCTGTGCTGAAACCCTGTGTTCCACAAAGAACCCTCTGTTTGAGAGCTGTGCTCGGCCCCTGGTGTCTGCCCTCCGACCCATCAGAAGGCGACTCTGTGGTCCTGTTCTAGTTAGCAACATCAACAAGCAAACAAGATTTTCTGTTCATTTAGTGACTGTTGAGGCATTGTTTTTAAATACTAATAGCATCTAACATATCCTGTGTATTTTCAGCTCCCTCAAGTCCCAAATTAGAATCAGATAGCTGTTGGCCTTTTGACTGCCTTTCCTGAGGCATGCTAGGTAGCATCATGTGGGTAGCCAATGCAACATATGTTTTGCTAACTGGGAAGCTGGTTAGCAAGACGTTTATCTTATTAACACATGGTGCACTTACATGACATTAATATATATTCCTACTTTACAGATTTACTGTGCCAGAGGAAAAACATTAGCTGAGCTAAGCAAAATAGGAATCAGCATACTTGTCACATTGTCCTGGAATAACATGTTAACTTTGTTAGACATGTTGGCTTCCTTTGTGAGGAGAATAAAACATAATAAACTGAAATGTATAAACCTGAAACGTGTTGTTCCATAGAAATTCAGAATAAGAATTCTCTGGTTTATGTTGTCATGTATTAAACTAGAATTAAGAAAATAAAATAGTTAATTTTTATTCTGAATGTTTATATTGGAGCTAGAGTTGTTAATTTCTAAAAATTATTGCTGTTGTGTAATGTAGTGATTTTATTCTCTCTCCAGCTACACTCTACTAGCCATACATACACTGTTGTGCCACTATTCATTTATTAATGGTCTGTGGTGGTGATAGTGTCAAATCCATCAGAAAGAGGAATTGTTTCAGTAGTAGTTTCATGACTTGGCTGATTAGCAGAGATCAGAAGAAGCAACCTAACTGTGGAAACCACTCCAGCATATAGTTTTAACAGCTCTTTAGGGAGCTAGTTAATGAAAGAATCACTACAGAAACACAGCCATGTGAAAAAAAGGAGCATTTTCATACAACACTCAGAGGATATGTCATAAGTGGGAACATGTTCATAATTTCTATTTACTCACAGCTGTAATTACCATCTGCCTTAAGAGAACTTCTAGTCTTTGTCAAAGTTGCTTAGATATTTCCTTTGTCACGTTTCAAGCTGAGAAGTTCTGTACAGACTAGATCCTGCCGTGTGATTTCGTTTCTATTTTTCTGTAAGAATTTAATTATCTATTCTCTGTGTGAAGAAAGCACCAGCATTTCCAGAGACCTGAACCTCCCCAGCCTACTTGAACTGGCATTCATCTGATTCATGTTTGTGCTTATTTTTGCCATCTGTCTTCAAAAAAGGGTTCTTAACTTTTAAATGCCCACTGGTTTATATGTTGCCCTCTAATTTTTAACTCTTAAAAAGCTATTTTTCTTTTCTTTTTTCTCTAACTCCAGTGTCTATGAGCCAGATAGAAACGTTCTGCGAAGGAAGGAATGGGAAAGGAGAAATCAGGAGGCCCAGCAGGACAATGGCACGTTTAACATGAGCTATTCCCTCTTCAGTGAACCGTACAAGGTAGATGCTTCCCAGCTGGGCAAATCTTTGCTTATTTATTTTTTCCACAGTACAAAAATGTAGCCTGCAGAAGGCACTGTCCAGGTTTCATCACCCTCCCACAACTGGTAGCTTCCCAAAATTCACAGAGAATATGCATGATTCCCTGAGAGTCAGATTTTATATATATTTATATTTATGTATATGTATAAAGTTTCTTCTAGTGTTTATTAGCACACAAAAGTGAAATAAACTAGAAATATCCCAGCAGTATTTGACATGGAATTAAAATTAGGAGGTGAAGGTGAAGGTATCTTGTTTTTGCAATACTTAGAAAAAAACAATTGTGTTAAACTAGTGTGTGAAGGTCAAGCAGTATTGTAAACATTGTGCCCTGGCCAAGGTTATTGTACTGAAATATCCTTTTCCCCCCCCTATAACAATTACCAGGATAATAAGAAAATTTGTCTGCTATACATGTTTTTCCTCCACCAAAGGCAGAAGTAGCTTAAGAGTCTCAACTCCCTGTGTTGTTCCTCATGGTAACAGCAGCTTGATGAGGCACAACTCTCTTTCATCACTCCCTGTTAGAAGGTCAAGCAGGGCCTTTTACCCTCTGCAGAAGCTTGAAAATGGTGAACAGGACCAGAGAGCAGTGTCCCATGGGGGCTGCTCCTCCCAATGACTGCGTGTATGTATCAAACCATCATCATGTATTTTCTGCTGTGCCTTTCCAGAAATGTCCAAGTGACTGTAACAGCTGCCACACTGTGAAGCCTTTCCCTCCATGCAGCATCACTTGCCCTTGATGCTTAGGGTGCTTTAGTGCCTCTTTCCAGGAGACCTATTTGGAACCTGGGACCTGGCTGCTGTTTCAACTTCCATGCTTGCACTTTAATTCTTCTGCTCCAGGGTCAGCTTTTAGCTTGCTCTTCTTCCAGATTGTTGTTTGTATTTAGTTCCTAATAAAAAAGAAAGATCTGCCACTTTCAAACCATGTCCCTTGAAGGAACACAGCTCTGTCTGCCTTGAAGCTGACCTCCAGCAGCCTGGATTTCAGATTCATTACAAAGGCATTTAGAAACCATGTCAAATGTCTTGAACTCCTCAATGACCTACTTGAAAATGTCTACCGTGAGACCAGTCAAGGGCTAATCCATGGAAAAAAGCCTGGAAAGCATAAGTCAGCTGTGTCTTGGCATTTCTTGAGGGCTGTGCTGCAGTGACGACTTAACGATCTTCCATTTGGTCCAGTCAAATAGACCACACACAAAAAGGACCTGGCCTTTTTATGTGTCCCCAGTACTATTTTGTCTTTGGTGCCTCAAGTTGGTGATACTGAAGCTCAAACCACTTTTAAAAGTGGTAGGTATCACTTCTATTATTACTTCTGTGCCAGTGTACCGACTGTCATGGCACAGCCGTGATGTGCCATGGACACACCAGAAGTTTCTGAGTTAGAATGTCAGAGGACACCTCTGTGCAACCACAGTATAATATAAAGTATATAAAAATATACTTTAGATATAGTATATGCAGTATAATATGAATAGAATAGAATAGAATAGAATAGAATAGAATAGAATAGAATAGAATAGAATAGAAGTGGATGAAAAATCATTGCCATCTCCAGAAGCAGAGAGGATACCAAGTGGATAATCCTATGAGGCAAGCAGAATAATGGCTCAATTCCTGGTTCTCACCTTTAAACACTGTGTCCCTATTTTGAACAAATGTGTAAAGAGAGTGCTGCATAAATACATCCTATAGCTAACTTTGTCAAGGAGACATGGGGAAATGCAAAGCCCAGGACAGTAGTATAACTCACAGCTGTGTTCGTGTAGCAGAGCTGCTTGGGGTGATCAGTCATTCTGATAGTATTGGACATCAAAACTTTTATCAGTGTCATACTCTGATTGTCATGTATACGCTGGCAATGGACCATTGGGCTCTCTGAACTAAGCCAAGCATTTGTGAGCCTTCAGTACAGGGAGAAAGAGATGTGGCTTTCTGGTCTGGCTGTGGAGAGAGCCTATCTGCAAAAGAGGAAACCTTTCTGCAAAAGCAAAACTGAAACCCACTTGTATTCCCTTTAAAGATCATGTTCACCTTTTAGGGATTTCCAGAGGGGAATGAAGTTATAGCAGACATTCACTGCAAGCTCTGATTAAATTCAGTATTCCACTGCTCAGCTTGAGAAACACAAGCTAAAGCCAAAGGATATGCTATTCAGAAGACCATATCTGAAAATCAAAGGCAGACTGGAAATCTCTTAAATCTTACATCCTCTCTCACCTTGACATGTATCACTACTACTGTAACATTGAATTTTCTCAAAAATCCTGACTCTTCAGGTTGCCCCTTATCCTGTTCAAAGTATCCATAGCAACCCTCTATGAAGGATTACAGGAAATCCAGTATCTTTTACATAAAATCTCTTTTATAGGGGAGTGAAAAAGTAGGAAATTAGTTCTGGATATTTTCTGGACAGAATACCTTGCCCCATTACCTATGTAAGTATTTTTACTGAAGAAAAAATTCTGCTGGCCTTCCATGCAGCCATCAAGTTTATTTTTAGAAGCATTATATGTTGCCATCTTCAAATGCTTGGATTTGTCTTGCTTTGCAGAAGAATATCAGAGCACTGTAAGTAAGACATGTTTGCACAGATGCTTTTCCTACTTACCCATTTTGTGACCATGTTTTCCCTGTGGGAATACTTAAATAAGGCCAGCAATATTTCAGAGAAGATAATAGGACAAACTAAAGCTCATAACAAGTTACCTCAGATTCCATCATGTTCCCAAGAGGATGTAGGTGAACTCTCCTGTATGAGATCAGCTCAATACAAAATTTCACCTGAAGCTGTCCCCAGTGCATCTTGAAGGAATAAACAGCACAGACCAGTTGTCAGCATATGACATGATACTAGTTTGCTGCAGTTATTCTTGTAGTTATCTGGGATCTCTCAATACAAGATATTTATGTGTGACTTTCACATCACATCCATGTAGAAGACAACCTGATGACTTCTCTGAGCTATTGATAGTCTACAGATAATCTGCAATTAGGCTTTTGTTTCCTTTCCATCCACAGAGCAGCCATCAGCAAAAACAGATCTTATTTTAGGGAAGCTGGACTTCTTAGGGACAAAACCTGCCTATGAATTTGTTTACGTTCATGGAGCTAGAGGCAGATGGGTGGAGAGCTGTCCTCACAAGATGTCCACGCTGTGGGAGGGTGGTCCCCATTCCATTTGGTGGTCATTGTTGCCATGCTCCTGGCAGGGAAACAAACCTCAAATGTACTCTGTCTGAATAATAATGAGTACAGGCCCAACAGCAGATTTCTCACCTTAGAGGGAAGCTGAAACAATACTTCTCTACAAGGTATCTACACAAGGCAGAGGATCCAATGAAGCATAAAGAGATGCACTGGGTAAAAGGAACACTTTGATGTGTTCTGGAACACAATTCTGCTGGTCAAGGAGATGCCCAAGTTTAGAAGTTATATCATTGACTTCAGGAGACATTCTTTCTTTTCAGATGTATGTGATGCTTCCCACATCTTTAGCCTCATGAATAGTTTCCTCTTCTTTAGGACATTGATGTAATTCCTGTTAAGTGGAAGAACACCCTTTTTTAAAGAGACTTGCTATCTGTGAGTCAATCCTTCAATTTTTTTTTCCATAGCAGGTTTTTATCTTTGTAACAGTAACAGCCTCATGTGCAGAGGGAAGATCAGGCTGTAGTGGTTGAACCTTGAGCCATCTTATTCCAAGTTTCCAATGCAAAGTTTCAGATGCAAGACTTTCACATTCTTCCCTTCCTACCCCCTTCAATATATATTGATGATATATATATTTAGCTCTGTTAGCATAGTTACAAAAACTTATCAGAAAGCTAGGTGTAATGCATTTTACAGATACAAGGTAGTGTCCTTGAAATTTGAGGGGAAAAGTTTGAAGAAAAACAGGACTGCTTCTACTGTTAGACGTAAGGATGCTTCCACTGTAGACCTCTAAAAGTCTGCATGTGGCATGTACAGCATTCATTTACTGTGCATTTTTTTTCATGGGTTCAGATTTTCTACTCAGAAACCCTAAAAAGAAAAGATTCCAAACTGGGGAGTTTCCCTTGAATACCTTCCCTTCCATATCCCCAGTTTTCCAGAGTAACTGATGTGGTTGACACATCTTTTGTGTTTTTAAGTGTAACTTTAAGGGGATCTCCTCCGCTTCCTTTACTCTCTTCTCTCTCCTTCTTTCTGTTTTCCTCTAAAACAGAGAGTCTTGAGATGAAAACTTGGCCTACTGAAAACAATAGGGGTTTTCCCATTCACATTCCATATCTAGAAGAGAGAAAGGTGAACTCCACTGCCTCATTACTGTCTTCCTCTGAAAACATAAAGCAAAGGACATAACACGCCTGAATCTTGGCAGGGTTCAAAAAAATCTCTGCGGTAAAAATACTAATGATATACCCTTTTGATTGCAGTGGCTTTTTAAAGCAAGAATTTTCAATCTTTTCCAGTATGTTTTGTTTGCTTGTTTTATTTCTTTGTGAAGCTTCTGCCTTTTCAGTCAGGAAGTAAATGGATCATTTTTAAGACAATAATTAATCTTGAAGTGGAGGAAGGGTGGCTGTATTCCCCTGCTATGCACAGCAAGCACTGAGAAATGTGAAGAATTTGGCAAGGGTTCTGTTCACCTTTTTTTTTTTTTTTTACAAGAGGAGAGTGCCCTGGAATGAGCACCCTGTCAGAGCATTTTTAAAGAAAGGACATAATCTGTACTTTTCTCATTTCCCACAAGCTGTTTTCAAGTCACCTCAGAGCATTTGGCTGGCTTAGATGACAAATTCATTCAGCACTTACATGGGATGTTGTGTGGCTTCCCAGATGGTTATGAAAACTTAGGCAGGCTGAGGAAGAAATTGGGAATGCAGTGTTTTCATTCATGACTGAAGGAGAGCTTGCATTAGGTTACAGGAAAAGTTTTATCATGGTCAGGTTTAATCCAAACCATTCTGTGCAGTTGCAATAATAAATTTTCCAGTTTCCAGGTAATATACTTTAACTACAGCGTGATATCTGTGATAGATTTCTTTTTTTATATACTCAAAGGCCCTTTATAGCTTTTCCAGTTCAGGGTAGATTTAAGATGTTGACAAGTGTCTTCAGAGACAATAAGGATTTTTGATTTCAACCCTCAACGCTGCTGCTGAATAAGGCTGTCTTACTTCAGTAAGGATTTCAGCAGAAGCATGCAGGGAATTTTGTTTTTCTTATGTTGACTGTAGCAGAACACTCGATTTTTGTTTTGCAGACTAACAAGGGGGATGAGCTTTCCAATCGCATCCAGAATACTTTGGGCAACTATGATGAAATGAAAGACTTGTTAACTGACCGGTCAAACCAGAGCCATCTCGTTGGGGTTCCAAAACCGGGGGTTCCTCAGACACCTCTCCCCAAGACTGATGAGCATCATATTGCAGACTCGAGACCACCACCTCCTCCTCCTATTTCCAGCACTACTTCTTCCACACCAGCATCCCTAGCTGCCCAGCAGAGCAAAAGTACCACAATGGGCTGGCAGAAGTCAGGGCATAATGCCACTTCAGATGGCCAGCAGAGAGCAAGCAAACATGGACACCGGTCGCTGGAGTCACACAAGGGTGACTTCAAACTGGCGAGCCAAAAATCTAATTTGGAGAAACTAAAACACTATGCATCGAGTCCCACCTCCTCCTCTTCCTCCTCCTCCACTTCCTCTTCCTCCTCCACCACTTCCTCCTCCTCCTCCTCCTCCTCCTCCTCCTCCTCCTCCTCCTCCAATACTGCCCAGCAAAGTTCACTGAGGGCCACATTAGGAGACAACACCAATAGAGTTCAGCAGCCAGCAAAGCTCAGCTGTAGCTCAGAAGGAGGAACCAAAGTCCAAGAGAGGCCAGCAAAGCATGGTGGGGGGCACTGCGTCCAAAACTTCCCACCCTCTCTTGCTTCAAAGCCCAGTCTGGGTCAGCAGAAGCCAACAGCTTATGTAAGGCCAATGGATGGTCAAGACCAGGCTCCTGATGAGTCTCCAAAGCTGAAGTTACCAGCAGAGACGACCAAGTCATATCGGGGAGTGCCTTCCAGCAAGCCTGATTCGGCCAGGACCAAGTCAAAGATCACCAAGTTCAGCATTCCTAAGCAAGAAGAAGTAAGTGTTTTTATATTTCTTATGACATACCTCCAGTGATGGATGGATGGATGGATGATGTTGCTTATTGCACCTACCTCTTTATAAATTTTTAACATATTGATTTGCATGCTGATATTTTTGGTGACATTGATACAGTATATTGCAAATAGAAGCCTCACAGTAATTCAAAGGTATCTCAACAGAAAAATGCTCATTGTCTTCAGGACCGAAACACTTCCTACAATGGCACATTTTCTAGTAGTATATATTATTTCACTGATTTTTTCCAGAATGCTCATTTTTAAAACCTGGATTTTTTCTTCCTGGCAGGTGTATTGCTTCTTGCTGTTCATATTTCATTGATTTCTTTCTCTTTGGCAAAGATGAAATGAAGTGAATGTGACCAGAAATAGTTCTGCCATCCTCAATGTCAAAGTAGTTTCACAATCCAAATAAATTACTTACACAGTATGAAATCTGTGGAATAGATTGTGTTTCAAGCCAATTCATGAGAAGACTGAAGTTTCCTTAAAGAATTTCCATCTGTAGAAACCTGGTGTAGTGGGTTGACCCAATACACCTGGCCATACTGCAAGTATAAGAACTTGTCTGAAAAAGCTTTTAGACAACATTTATTTATCAGCAATAGATATAAAATATTTCTGCTTGGATTTACTGTATATTCATTTATTTTACATTCCTTTAATGCCAGGAGGACACTTTCCTTTAGCACTTTGTCTGTGATTGTTTTTTGACTATTTGGTCTTTTTCGATGGGAAGGAAGCGATTCGTTTTGGCAGAATAAAGGGTATTTTTTTATTCAAGGGTGTATTCAATGGCCTGCATGTCAATACAAAAGTGGTCACATCATGCTCTTGTGAAAATTGATAGATCTCCCATGAACTCAACAATTTATAGTATTTATAGGACTATAGGACTCTATTTGACTGAATCATGGTGACTTTGCCAGAGAAGAGGCAATGATTGTTTACTATTTTTTACAGCTGTGGTGTGTCTTGAGATGTTTTAAGTCTTAAAATCTTGTTCCTGGCATTGTTAAAGGAGAGGAAAAATTTAATTTTTGGTGGAGTTCTCTGGCCTCTTAATGCCTGCTTTTCAGAAATGGAGTTGACTCGTGTATTCCCCTTGGGTTTAGTTTGGGAAAGAAATCTCTCTGGAAGCAATTATTTCTGTGATTTTTCTCTAAGTGAAAGTTCCATCAGTTCCAAACAACACGTAGGTGATATGCTGTTCCTGAAAAGGGGTTGTTTTAGGCTTTTAAGCTAGATCTTATAAGCAAATTTAGCATTCACAAAGTGCTGTAATTGTGCAGATAGATCAGGTAACGGCAGATAGTAATATCCATTTAGCTGTTATTGCCTCTTTCAGACTTGTGCTAGATAGTAATCTGCAACTGGGAAGTGTTGTTAGAATTAAAGATGCCTGTGGCAATTATCTGACTCTTTCAAATTTCCCCCCTTTACATGTATGCAATACTCTAAGGACTAGTATGGAAAGGAGTTCTGATAGGCAATCATTTGTCTGAAACTCAGGATTTACCATTTGCATTCCAAATATGCCTACCTCTGGAAAGAAAAATTTAATTTGTTGTATGCAATCCATGCTGCTGCATAAGCATAAGTTTATACTGCAGTTTCTAGATGAGGAGACATAGCTGACTTGAAACTAACTTGTTTAGATACTGATGACAATGTAGATTATAGTAGGAGAGAGTGGACTGCAGGTTACCTACTAAAATATTCACCAATTTCTCACAGATTTTATGTGATGCAGTGTTAATGAAACAGTATTTGATAAAAGAATATTAACATTCAACTGAAGTTGAAGGACGTGGACCAAAAGCAGTGTCTGCTGGTTTAAAAAAGATTTTTACGAAAAATGATGGACAAATTTCTAAGGCGAAGAATAGTAGGCACTATAGGTGTTGGGGTTTGAAACTGGAGCTAATGAAAGACAATGTTCAGATGTGAAAAATCAATGAAAGATAACAGACCAGCTATTTTTCATTTATCCTGATATTTTGCTTGTTCTAACTTTTTCCATCCCAAGTGGCTCAAGCTGAAACTTGTAACCCACTTGTATTGCTACAGGGAGAAATACTGACCAAGACTGAAACTTTTTTATTCAGTGTTGCCTAATCCACCCGCTCTTTGATTTTCAGTTGGACTTCTAAAATTTCAAAATGTTTTTCCATTCCTATTATTTGTATCATAAATCTTCTAGTAGAGTTGTGTAAGAATTCCCATACTTTTAAAAAATTTCTGCTATTAAACTCATAAATTTTCTCCTTTACATCAAATGTTTGCCATCCCCTCTTAGGGCCAGAAGTTTTAAGCTGCTTGCAGCACAAAAGCTGCCATGGGCCTGTGAATGTTTGCAGGCAAAATGAGTCATCTGTTGTTCAGAGTAAGGCTAAAGGTGCTGGCCAGGACAGACCTAGTATCCCTAGAGGCTGTGGGAAGAGTAGAGATGTCATATAGGATCACTGTGAGGGAAAGCATGCGGATAAGTAAGCTCCAGCAGCCTGGAAGCTACACAGAAACAGAAATGAGAGTGGCAGAATGCTGCTTAAGAGCAGCCAAGAAAGAAGGAGAGGAGCAGAGGGCTTGGGGTAGGGTATCTGGTAGTGAAATGAAGCTCTATATCTGCTAAAACAAAAGGTGTGTGTCTGAGATGGGCTAGGTAGGGCAGTCACTGTGCTCTGGGGTTCGTGCAGGCAGCGCTGGGAGGCCTTCCTGGCTCCTGGGCAGCTTGCTGTCCACCAGAATCCCCATGTCCTTCACTGGAGAGGTCATGTCCAGCCAGTTAGCTCCCAGCCTGTATTGTTGATGAGGTTATCCCTCCCCTCAGTCAGTATTTTCCCTTTCTAGATTCTTATCAATTTATCTAATACCAGTTCTGGGGCCCCCAACCCAAGAAGGATGTGGACCTGCTGGAGCAAGTCCAGAGGAGGGACACCGAGCTGATCAGAGGGCTGGAGCACCTCTCCTGTGAAGACAGGCTGGGAGAGTTGGGGTTGCTCATCCTGGAGAAGGGAAGACTCCAGTGAGACCTGATAGCACCTGGACCTAAAGGGAGCCTGCAAGAAAGCTGGGGAGGGACCTTTTACAAGGGCATGTAGTTACAGGACAAGAGGAAATGACTTGAAGCTGAAAGGGCGTAGGTTCAGATTAGATATTAGGAAGAAATTCTTTATTCTGAGGGTGGTGAAACACTAGAAAGTGTTGACCAGAGAAGCTGTGGATGCCCCATCTCTGGAAGTGTTCAAGGCCAGGTTGGATGAGGCTTTGAGCAATGGGATCTAGTGGAAGGTGTCCCTGTCCACAGTACTGGAGTTGAAGTTAGATTATCTTTAACGTCCATTCAAACCCAAACCCATTCTATGATACCTGTGCACTTCCATTTGTGTTACCCAATTTAAAAGAACCACCAGTGGAAAAATAAACACATAATGAAAGAAAGTTAAGCTTCGCTGTAAGGACTGGAGAATAAGAAGCAATGTGACAAAAAGTGTGTGTGTGTGTGTGTGTGTGTGTGTGTGTGTGTGTGTGATCAGCAGGATAGAAAACCCTCTTCTGCACATTACATGAGGTTTTCAGAGAAACAGGGCAGAGTTGGCTGCACTGCAATTATTATCCACTGGAAATAAGATCTCTTGAATACAAATTATAGACCATTACTTTTCAATACATGAAAAGGGTTGATTTTTAATGCAGTTCAATAACTCATTTTATATTTTTAATCAGTTTTGGAAAGCCTTCAATACCTTGACACAGACTGAAGCTTATAAATTTTTTAAATTGTTTTAATGAGAATAATTTGGATAGACCTGTGTGTAGAAAGGTAGCATTTACTCATTTGGGAATTTAATCTTTAGTAGCCAGGTTCAATAGTGTTAACTAGAATCCATACCCAACCTCCTGGTCATTCCAAAATTATCATACTGCTCTGTAGAGATGATAGCTCATCATCTCAAGTACTGGTATTCCACATTTTCAACTACTTAAAAATTATATTGCTGTAGGTAAAAGTCCACTGCATTGGATAAAAGGGAAGAAAAATTTGATACCAGAGTATAGAGGAAAAGAGGCAGGGAAATCAAGTGCCTCTCTTACCTAAATGTTCTTGAGTGAAACAATAAGAAAAAGCAAAGGGTGGCAAATCATATTCTTTATATCCAAGTTCTGTTTTTGAATTTCATCTCGTAGACTGCATGCTGCATTTTTATTACATTGAAGAAGCCTTATCTATTGTTCTCTGCTTGCTTTTCTTAAGGGTTATGAAGCAAAGAAATAGAGGTTGTATTCAAAAATGACTATGAGCCTAATGGTAAAAAAGAAGATTTGGTTTTGTTAAATTTGGAAACACATTTATGTGAAACATAGGGAAGGTCATCATGAGGACATATACTTTCTTATTCACTTCATAGAGTACTTACACAACTTCTGCAGCAGAAGGAATGCACCATAGATTAAAGGTTGAGTTTGGGGTTGTTTTTTGTTTTTTTTTTCCTTTTTCTTTTTATTTTGCCCTGATGATCTTACTCAGGCAAATTCCTATTTGCTTGGGTAAGATACTCTCTGCAGTCACTCTCCTTTGAGTGGCTATTTATAGCTATCAGCATCTGGCACACACTCTAGCAAGTGTCCTTTGAATCTGCAATCTCTTTTTTGCCTATTAGCTCTATCCCCACGTATTAATGGAAAGCAAAAACACCTCACAACTCTTTTCTCTGTCTGAAAGAACTACAGTTTGGCCTCAGTGTTGATAATTTTATCAAAATCAGTCTCTTTGAAGAAGAAGTATGTATAATAAGCAGTTCCATTCCAGTTTAAAATTGAAGATGCAAGTTCATGTGCTGCTACATTTCATTTGAGAACAGAAGGTCCAGTGAAAAAACTAAATAGGGAATATAGTCAGTTCATGCTTCATCTGGAAATCCCACATATCTGTAGGACAGTAGAGGGGAAACAGTATCTCATGAGGAAGGAAAAGGG